TGTTATATAGGATATATATTTAAGAATATATATGTAAGGTATATATGAAATAAGAATCCATTATATTTTTATGTCATATATATAACATATCTAATACATATGAAACATATGGTATATTCTTCTTTTATGTATACCTTACATATATATTCTTATATATATAACATATATAACATATTATATATGAATATGATAAAATTAGGTCAGGTTGGTTAGTTGTATTACTGCTCACCAATTTTTTGAAGTGCCTTCTTTTGAAGTTTCTTTAGGACACTTACCAAAGTCTGTGTTTGATATGGTTAGGCTTTGTATCTCCATCCAAATTTCCTCTTGAATTGTAATCCCCATAATCCCCACGTCAATGGAGAGACCAGGAGGAGATAATTGAATCATGGGGGCAGTTTCCCCCATGCTGTTTTTATAATAGTGAATGTGTTCTCATGAGTTATGATGGTTTTATAAGGGGCTCTTCCCTACTTCACTCAGCACTTCTCCTGTCTGCCATCTTGTGGAAGCAGGTACCTTGTTTCCCTTTTGCCTTCTGCTAGGATTGTAAGTTTCCTGAGGCTTCTCCAGACATGCTGAACTGTGAGTCAGTTAAATCTCTTTTTTTTAATAAATTACCCAGTCTTGAGCAGTTCTTTATAGCAGTATGAAAAAGGACTAATATAGTATTTATGTTTTAGAGCACAAGTAAATCTCAGGGGGTTTTAAAGGATTAGAATCATAAAATATAAGCTTTGTTCCTAACTTGGAATTAAATTAAAACTTAGCAAAAGGAACTTCAAGATCTGGCCAAGATAGAGTCATCACACTCCACTTATCCCTCACTTATCACAGCTGGAAACTCTGGAAAGAATGACTCAATGACTATTTGAAGATTCTGAAATTTTTTTAAATATCAAGGAGAATGAGGAGAAAATCGAAAACTTGAAAATGACTAATACGATAATGAGTTTCCTGTTTTGTTTGTTAATTCTGCTAAACTATATATTGCCTACAAGAAATCTACTTAGTATATATTTCTACAGCTAGGTTGAAAGTAAAATGATAAAAAATGATGCACCAGGCAAATAAAAATCAAAAGAAAACTGAAACATCTTTATTCACATCATACAACATAGCCTCCAGAACAAGGAAAATTACCAGAAATAGAAATGAACATTGCAGAATGATAAAAGAATGGATTCCCAAATAAAATATAAGAATACTAAATGGACATGTACCTAACATGAAAACTGATACAAACTAAAAGATGCATAGACAAATCCACAATTATAGCCAGAAACTTTACCACTCCTTTCTAAGTAACCAATAGAATGACAGATAGTCAGTAGGATAGAGAAGACCTGAAGAGCACCATCAATGAACTTGACCAAATTGAAATTTATAGCACACTCTATCCAACAACAATAAAATGTGCGTTGTTTCCAAGGGCATGAGGAACATTCACACAGAAAAACTACATTTTTGGACACACACACACACACACACACACACACACACACACACACACAGAGAACCACAGCAAATATAAAGCAATTGAAATCATACAAAATATATTATCTGGCCACAATGGAATTATATTAGAAATAAATCAAAGAAAAATATAACACTTGGAAAATGCTCAAATATTTGGAAATTAGATACATATTTCTAAAATTCCATGGTTCCAAGAGCAAATCTCAAGAGCAGTTTAAAAATATTTTGAACTGAATGAAAATGAAAATCTAACTTAGACTGTGGGGGATACATCTAACATAGTACTTTAGAGGGACATGTATAACATTAAGGAATTATATTAAAGATAAAGGACTCAAATCAATAATCTGATTTTCTATTTTAAAAACTTGAAATAGAAGAGCAAACCGAACCCAGAGCAGGAACAGGAAACAATAAATATAAAAGCAGATGGAACATTTGCTGAAATTGACCCCTTGTCAGGCCATAATTCTAGCCTCAGAAAATTTCAAAGGGTGTGAACTGACAGCATGCAATAACACGCTTTAAGTATGCTGGATACACACACACTCACACACACACACATAAGACACCTAGAAAACTCCTCATATTTGGAATATTTTCAAGCTCACTTTTAAACAATTTATATTGAAAGAAAAAAATAAAAAGGAAATTAACAAACATTTAGAATTAAAATAGAGTGAAGATACTACTCATATAAAAGCTTATACAGTACCTCCAAACCAGCACATCAAGAGAAATTTAAGCCTTTGATGCTTATATTAGAAATAACGAAAGACTCAACATTAGTGAGCCAAGCACTCAACTTAAAAACCAGTAGAATTAATAAAGATTAATAGAAGGAAAAAGCACAATTTTAGGAATGAATGAAACATGTTTAGACACTGTAGAATTAAGTAGATAATAAAAATTATTAAAAACTATGTCAAAAAAGGGAAAATTGGGCAAAATAGATAAATTCTTAGAAAAATACAATGTATCAAAACATACACAAGAAAAAACAGAAAACTTAAATAGTCCTACAGTCACTGAGAAAATTAAAATTTTTTCAAATGGAAAATGCCAAACTCAGTTCTCTTTGCAGATGAGTTTTATCAAAAGCAAAAGAAAAGATAATTTCTATCTCTACTACTCCAAAGGAAAGGAAAAAAAATAGAGAAGAAAACTCAATTTCTCTTATGAGGCTAACAATGCATTGGTAGGATAACCAGACACACATAGTATGAAAAAAAAAAAAGATACATATCCCAGTTTTCTCATGAACACAAAACCAGAAATCTTAAACAAAAATATTTGCAAATATCATCCAGCAATATAAAAGATAACACATCTTAAATAACTTGGATTTATACCAGAAATGCAATTCTGATTTAATAAGAGACAATTAATAGCATCCTCAAATTCAAAGATTCTCAATGAAAAAACACCTTCTTATAATGCTTTAATGAAAAGTCAACTTATTATGAATATCTTAGCAAACTACAAAAGAAGAAAAATTATCTTTGCCTGATAAAAGGCACATAAAATGTATAGTAAACATTACATATAACAATGGAAGTTCAATAGAATTGTCTATAATATTAGAAAAGAGAAAGATGCCTTCTATTCAATACCTAATCAAAATTTTACTGTAAGTACTAGCAATTACGCCAATACAAAAAAGAAATAAAAAGTGACAGCATTGGAAAGAAAGAAATGATATTGTCATTAGTTGCTGCTACTGAACGCCTATATAGAAAATTTAAAAAATATATATTTCTATTTAATCAAAATAATCTATGAGAAAATATAATTTTTAAATGTAATTTTCAGTAACAAAAGTTTACATAAAGCATCCTTTATGTAAATAATTATGTCCTTAATATAGGACATCAAAAAATGTAAATACATGGAAAACTATAGAAGGCACTTGTATAGAAAGACTCAGTAGGATAAAGAGGCAAATTATTTATAAATTTATCTCTAGGTTCAATGGAATTCCCCCAAATGCTAATAGGTTTAATAGAACTTGACAAGTGTGTATATAAAATATACATGTGGGTATATATGTGTGTGTATGCATGTGTGTGCTCAAGTAGACATGTACGTGGCTATTCATAGAAGTATTGTTCATGTATGTAGAGAGAGAGCCCAAAAGAGCCCAAAATAGCCAGGATACTTCTGAAGGATAAGATGGAGGTGGAACTTGTCTTATCAGATTTCTTTCTTATGAGAAAATGTCAAAGATAAGATGTTTCAGAGTTGTCATGGGCCTAGACAAATAGCCTATGGAGCAGAACAGAAAGCCAGAAACTGACACCCAGAAATAGAGACACTTCACTCATGCAGGGGTGGGCACTGTGGATTATTGAGGAAAGGAAAAGCTATTTACTGAAACTATCATAGGCCAATTGTTGTTTATATGGAAAACAATGGACTTTGACACCTACCTCATGCCTACTCAACAATCAATTTCAGGTGGTTTAAAGAGCTAATGACAGTCCCCTAGTCTTCCAGTCTTTTAAAAGTATTTTTAGTTTCCTTTTTTCACATTTATGACCAAAGGATAGAAAAGCATTTTTTAAAAAGCCATAAAATACATAGGCCATAAAATAAATGAATGATACATTCTATAATTTCATTAGAAAGTTTCCGCTCTTCAAAATACACAGGAAGAATGTAAAAATTCAAGGCACGTACTAAGACATTCATAGCACGTATAACTAAAAACGGATTTCTATGTAGAATACAAAAGGATTCCTTTTGTATTCTACAAATAATTTGTATCTACAAATTCTTATTGATATAAATCAATAAGAAAAATGTGCAAAAATATGAAGAGGCATTGTCCTGAAAAGGAAACACAATGAGAATTAAACATTATAAAATAATGCTAAACCTCAGTAGAGATTAGGAAAATGCAAATGCATATAGTGCAGTGAGGTATTAGTTTTTTATCTACTAGTTGGGCAAAAATGTGGAAGTCTTATAATACCCACTATTGGTAAGGCTGTGAATCAACAGAGACTTTATTATTGGACCAAGTATAATTTGTAACAACTACTTTGGAAAATTATTTGGCATTATTTTACAAATATGAATATTTGACAAAATAATTTTACTCTTAGGGATATAGCAGAACATTTTGCATATATGTGCCAGGAGCCATATACACGAACAGAAGTATTGTTCATAATAGCAAAACCAGAAATCATCCTAAACTCATCCACAAGAAAATAGATAAACATATTTTGGTAAGAGTCTTAAAATTAACGGCTATAAAGCAGTGGAAATACAGTTGCATGCAACAGTATGAACGAATCATAGAAATATGTCAGAAATCCTAGAACAATTCATAGAATACAATATTTTATAAGCCTTTCTGGGGCTTATAAAATATTCAATTCTACTTACAAGTAGAATTGAACAATATATTGTATAGGTATATGTACATATATGATATAACTAAACAAAAAAGAAAATGAAGGAGTGAGTAATAGATACAAAATTCAGGGTAGAGCTAACTCCTGGGTGCATAGAAGTGGGATTGAAGAGGTATATTTCTGGGACAAAGGCTTTGGCTTAATTTCGGTATAGATTCATGGGTCCAAATTTTATTGTGTTTCATATTATATCTATTACAAACATTCAGTCAAGTATTACATATGAAAACTTAAAAATAAGTAGATATTACATGGTTTTGGACTATTATTAAAAATGTACTGTATATTCAGTGCTGAGCTTCCTGTTAGCCAAAGAAAAGAGGCTAATGAGCTCAGTTCAGAAGGTATTTTGTGTAGCTGAAAACACAGCAGTTGTTCAGGATAAGCAGTGTCTGCCAGTTAATGAAGACTGAGTCGTTGTCGAATAAATGTATCTTCCTTAAGGAAAACATAGCTTAATGGAGGTAAGTATAATAAATTCTTTTATCATCCCCTTGATCTTCTTTCTCCAGGTGCTCCAGTTTACTTCGTCCAAAGTCACTAACATCTGATAATGAATCCAGAAAGGGTCCAGTTCTAGAATGTGGTCGTAAGCACTGGGCACATCTGGCCATCTCCCTTTGTGTTCACAATTGTCAGCCACTGAATGCCATCTCCCAATTATTGCTTGGTTTCTGCTAATATTTGTCACAAAAATGTTTGTTTGAATGTATCTTATCAAAGTAATGTTTGTGTTTTGGATTAGTCATTGCTTGGTTAAAGATTTGTATAATCAGTTTATTTTAAGATTAATTCATGAAAAAAAACCCTCTGCAAATTCCCATTATCGCTTAATTTGTATAAAGATATTTACTGTATTTTAACAGTGCAATTAAGATTAATATGGGTTCTAACACCATAAGGTCAAGTAAACATGGATTGGATGAAACTCCAAACACTCACCTCTGATCCTCAGATATTATTATGCAGCCCAGATCTTGTGGGTTTGCAGAATAGCAAAAAGGTCAGAAGTGAAAAGAAATGCGTATTCTCAGGTTGTCTGATGCAGACAGAGGCAAGGTGCTAGCCTGGGCTGGCCCGTTCATCACTCTGGGTTTCAGAAACAGCAGATGATTCACAGGATGAAGGAGGAAGAGTGGTGCCCTCAGTGGGGAACCTCCCCTGGGTAGACAGGGAAATTAGCTCAGAAAGACACAGGATATAGTATACACCTAAAGTAAAATAAAAAAGAAATAAATAAAAAATAAATAAAGTAGGGTTGAATAAAAAATAAATAAAAAAAGAAGCTGTGGTGCATTTGGGTGGTACAGGCTCTTTCGAGTCCAGGTTCTTCTCAAGAGCACTTTTTCCATGAGTCTGTGCCTGTTAGTGCTTCTTAGAAAGCTAGACTGTACCCCTCTGAGGCCCTTAGGCTGCTGCTGCCAGCCTTACTGCTTCTGGGATCCGTAATAGGTGGAATGGGTTTTCCCACAATTTTGATGAAATTGAGCAGTGTTTTAAATTCTCACATGAACTAAAATGTAACCCCACCCCTCACGGTGGGTTGAATGGTGGTCCCCAAAATACATACCCATGTCAAAATCCCTGGCAACTGTGAATCTGATCTTATTTGAAAAAAAAAAAAAAAAAAAAAAAAAAAAAAAAGGTCTTTGCAGATGTAATTGAGTTAAGGTTCTGGAGGTAAGATCATCCTGAATGCAATGACAAGTGTCCTCGTAAAGGCAGGAGATGCAAGAGGTGAAGGCTGTATGAGAGGCAGGCAGAGATCAGGGTGTTGTATCCACAAGCCAAGGACGGCCTGGAGCCACAAAGCTGGAAGAGTCAGGAGGGCTCTTGCCATAGGCAGGATTGTCCAATCTTTTGGCTTCCCTGGGCCACACTGGAAGAAGAATTGTCTTGGGCCATACATAAAAACGCTAACACTAACAATAGCTGATGAGCTTAAAAAAATTCACAAAATAATCTCATAACGTTTTCAGAAATTTTAAGGATTTGTGTTGGGCAGCACTTGAAGCTGTCCTGTGCCACGTGCTCTCTGTCAGCCGTGGGTTGGACAAGCTTGCCTTAGACCCTCCAGAGGCAGCGCGGCCCTGCCCACAGCTCTATTTCACACTTCAGATCTCCACAACTCTGAGAGAGCACATTCTATTGTTTCAGTATCTAGTTGTATGGCAGCTCTAGAAAACGAATATACCGCTAAGCCAGTTTTTAGTGTGTAATTTTGGACAATTTAGTTTTTACTTATAATTTTTTAAATGAAAATAATAAAATTTTGTCTGGGTTTTAAAGTCCACCTGATAGAACATAGTAGTTCCAACCTCAGTCCCTGCACGTGGCTTCACCTCCCCTGTGTTAATCAGACAGACTCATCAACTGGCTTTGCTTTAATCAAAACATTTAAAAACCTTGCAAGTTCAATCCAACTCACTATAGAATTTCCCCATTTGACCTTACTCTCATGATATATTAGTTTCCCCTTATCCACATGGGATACTTTCCAAGACCCCCCAGTGGATGCCTGAAACTGCTGATGGTACTGAACCCTAATATGCTATGCATGAATTTCTTTTTCCTTCTTTACAGTTTCACAGACAGAAGATTCATTCTTACCATAGGTTTTAGCAACCTCAGCATACAACTTATTTTGCTTTCTTTAAGTCAAAAACTTTCACCTTTTCATGTTAAGGAAGCACTTTGCTTCTCTTTGGCGCATCTGAATTGCCAGCGTCATTACTCTTGTGCTTTGGGGTTGCTATTAAGTAAAGTAAGGATGACTTGAACATAAGCACTGTCAGACCATAACAGTGACCTCATAACCAAGCCTGCTCCACTGTGGCTAACAGGTGAGTGGCATGTGATGTGTGGATACATTGGACAAAGGTGTAATTCACATCCCAGAAGGGAGGGTTCAAGATTTCATCATGTCACTCAGAACAGTGTGCAATTTAAAACTTATGAACTCTTTATTTCTGGGATTTTCCATTTGATATGATTTGGATGTGTCCCTACCCAAATCTCATCTTGAATCATAGTGCGCATAATTGCCGTGTGTTGTGGGCGGGATCCAGTGGGAGTGCTGTTCTTGTGATAGTGAGTTTTCATGAGGTCTGATGGTTTTATAAGGGGCTTTTCCCCCTTTGGCTTGATGCTTCTCCTTCCTGCCACCATGTGAAGAAGGACGTGTTTGCTGCACCTTCCATCACAACTGTAAATTTCCTGAGGCCTCCTCAGCTCTGTGGAACTGTGAGTCAATTGAATCCACCCCCACTTTTTAAAATATATATAAATTACCCAGTCTTGGGTATTTCTTGATAGCAGTGTGAGAATGGACTAATATATCATTTAAGATTTTAGAACAATGGTTGACCATGGATAACTGAAACTGTGGAAAACAAAACCACAGGTAAGGAGAGGGACTACTGTAATTATTTTCATTTTATTGACTGTTCTGCTGGGATCATATCAGAATATCTCCTCTGGTTTATGCTGACTGATTATGTGGTCCAGCCACAGGGAAGAGACTCCAGATTTTTCAATCTGGAGGGGAGACAGACAGATGTCTGGAAATCTCACATGGTGATTAGTGATGCAGTGTCATGCTGGCATGTGAGAAAGTAAGATGTCCCCTGTCTTGAGCAGGCTGTCCTGTGAAAGGAACATTCCGCCTTGATTGAGAACTTTCCATCTTTTCTATCCAGGGATACTCCTCCCATGTCTTTTTCACTCGTGCTGCTGAACACTGGAAATGTGGCTAGTGCAAAAAGTAATGGAATTTTTAATATTTCTTTCATTTTCATCACTTTAAGTTTAAATACTCAAACCTGCAGAGGATTTTGGGAGAGTGCATCTGTGCTCATCCTTGAGCTTAGACACTGTGGCATCCCAGGTGTCTTAGTCCGTTTGGGCTGCTATCACAATATACCTTGAAAAGAATGGAAATGCATTGCTTACAGTTCTGGAGGCTAAGTCCTAGAGAGAGGAGCCAGCAGAGTCTGTGTCTGGAGAGACCCTGCTTTCTTGTTCATTAACTGCCTTTTCACTGTGTCCACAAATGGTGGAAGGGTTGGGGTATCTCTCTGAGGTCACTTATAGAAACACACTAATCCCACTCATGAGAATATGCCCCCATGGCCTGATCACCTCCCAAAGGCCCTGCCTCCAAATGCCATCACACTAGAGGTGAGGATTTCAACATGTAGATTTGGGGTACATAAGCATTGAGACCATATTGCTGGGAGCTGCCTGGGACACTTCTGGGTTGTGATTCTGATGCCGCTTCATGAGAAATTATAAAGGTACCTTTAAGAAAAAGGTCATGTGCTTTTCCCTCATACTGTATCCCAAAGCCATGGGAATAAATATGCTAGGAACTTCCAGTTTAACCTTCCTTTCTGTAGTTTGTAGCCACTTCACTTTAGTCCTTTCATGTGAACCAGAGATGTGAATTGCCAGTCCGTGGTGCCCCAGAAGGATACCAGCCTCCCCTTTACCAAAGCCAAGAGCAGCACAAGGCCCACAGCCTTCTGAGGGGTACACAGAGTTTGCTCTGAGGGCCCCAGCACGTCAGCACATGCCACACAGGCCGCTTGGGATGTCCCTTTACACATCCCTCTGTGAAACAAGATGCTACGCTATCCAAGGCACAGAAGACCAAGGCTGGGCGAGGGGTCAGGAAAGTGTGCAGTAGGGTGGCCAACAACCTCCACAACTTTGTTAGATGTGGGCGCTTTCAAAGGGAAGGCAGACTGAAAAGAACTGTAACACAATCAATAGTGGCTTCAGTGGAGTTTCATATAATGATATCATAGAGAATAAGAAAATCCCAATTCTCAAGTAATTTATATGAGCTGTTTTTAAGTCACAAGAGGGTCAATTCAATTTAGAGTTTACACATGAATTCGTGGAGGTGGCAACTTGAATATGACTTTCTACCACTTCACTGAACTCCAGGCTACCCAGCTCTCCCAAAGAGTACATGATCTCAGGGCTCACTGGCAGCTGTGGGATTCCTACAGGTAGAGGGATAGGGTTTTCTCCTTGTGAAGTTGAAAAGAGTCTGGATTCTCCTGCTAGTGGGGCAACTGGAGTCAGAGAATTCTGGAAAGAGCCTAGTGCTTAGTGTCATGTGGTCCTTGGAGGAATGTCATTTTTAGCCCTGGTTCATGTCATCATTGCACGCACAAGTCCAGGGAGATGCTCAGTGGGTAGGCTGGGCTCTCTCTGTCCCTGAGTCTGGTGGAGTAGGAAGAGACCACAGGCACAGAAAGGCTCCGTCCTTCTTCCTGCAGAGGAGGGCAGGTAGTGGACACTTGTTGCCTTGCCGGGGCTGAGAAGACTTTCATTCCACCATTGAGGTCTGTACTGTGTGCCAGCAATTCGGATGAGCCCAGATGAGCAGACAAGGACACATGACAACCCAGCTGAGGAGGGAGAGGGAATCAGAGTCAACACAGCATGTGCTCAGCTCAGCTCACACTCTGGAAAATGATGCCACTGCCCTGCCTGGAACCTGGAGGACCCGCAGGGCCAGTCTCTTCCTCTCCTGCATTTACTTTCAGTGTTGCACTTGCTCCCACTGCCGTGTGATGCTGCATTCTCCAAAGAACTCCCTGCATGCGTGTCCTTGGACAGCCTCATCAATGGTGAACAAGTTCCCACACACTCAGCCTCCCGACTTCCTGCCTTGACTGAGATACATCCAGTCTTTTCCTTGTGCTCCGCTTCTCCCTGAGCATTCTTACAAGAGTGGTTTCGGCTGCTTGGTCACCTACCTGCAAGAACGTGTTGTTCAGGAGGGAGAATTGTTGTTCCTCCACATGCCATGTTGTTTATGGAGGGCAGGTTTTAAACATAGAGACACAGAAATGCTTTCGTTCAGTGATGGGCAAAAATGTGCCACAGAAATACCAACCAAATATCAGAGAGACTCAGGGAGGAAGTACTATGGGAGTAGAAAAAGGGTATTTCATAAATGTGTAGTAAACAAATGAACAAAGCTAAAATGTTGGTTCCTTGAAAAAAAATTACGAAATCGATAAATCCCTAGCAATGCTCATGAATTAAAGGAGACAGAGATAAAACAGTGTGAGAAATTATCAGTGTGAGGAATTGAAAAGGGAACAAATCCTACGGAAATCAAAAGAATATTAAGTAGATTAAAA